ACGCACGCACGCACGCACGCACGCACGCACGCACGCACGCACGCACGCACGCACGCACACACACACAAGCACGCACGCACGCACGCACGAACACACGCGCGCACACACTAACACGATAAGAAGAGACGAACACGATGATAAGAGACTATCACGACATGAGTGTTATAGGTTCACACTGGCGATTTGTTGACGTTGTCGTAGAATCGAGAAATTGGCGCGATTTTCAGCGATTTTTCGATTTCCCAACTCAAAATCGCTAGTGTGAACAGAAAAGTTGATGTTGAGAAGTTGAAAAATCAAGATATTGATGTGTCGGGCAAAATAGAACGTGTTATATTTTACTCGATTTTGCCCGACACTTTGCCATGAAATCGTAGAAGCGCTGCACGCTGATTGGCCAGTTCCTACATGTAAAAATAGTTTTGCGGCAGCACATGATACAGAAAATGGCGCCCGCCATGAATTGATTGAGTTGTGAGAGAAGAAAGATTGTTTGTGGTGTGTAAACTCGAAACAGTATCGTAATCGCGCCCGAAAAGCTGCGGAAATAAATAGCATCGCTGATGCATTGGAGTGGACCGGTGAGTTTGGCCAAATTTACGCAATAACCTATATAAAACTAGAATTTTATTTGACGGCCAACTTTCATCAACTTTCAATGACAAAACTTTAGACTATAATGTGAACAGATGTTACTGAAAGATTTCTTTATAAATGATTGACAAATCTTTACAGAAGATGTTGAAAGATTTTACTTCAAAGATATGTTCAAAGACAAAAAAAATCGCCAGTGTGAACCTAACACGACTCGAGTGGTGACGTCGACGATGACTCACCGGTATGCCCGTGGTCGTCGTGTTCTCAATGAAGACAAAGTCGCAGACGATGAACTCCACGAGGTAGGAGCTCATGTTCACCGACTGTTCAAACGTCGTCTCCATCAGTCCCGGATATTCCACGCTGCCTCGCGTTTCCTAATCACACACGCACACGAGGAGGGAGGGATGGTAAAGCTGGGTTTACACTACCGACTTTTATGTTGGCGAATTGGCGAGTTGGGCCAATTTCGCAATTCGGCAACTCCGAGTTGGCCTTATATATATATTTATAGCCTGTAAGATGTCGAATTAGCAAACACATGTAGAATTGTATTAAAAAAAAAATCCCTACCTACCTACCCTACTTTTGTTTTCGATGCACTAAGAAACACACCTATTTTTTGTTTGGCCTTATAGTCCGGGAGCCATGGGGTCATACCCTGCACTGAGAGTTAAAGTTTTTTTCTTTGCTGATTCTTGTAGACTAGGTGTTGGTCTTCACTTTC